CTCTTTCCCCCCTTCTATCCATCTTTCAGTATTCAAAGACCCAAGGCCTTCAATAATACCACTCCCACACCACTGCTGTGTCCTTCTCTTCTGACTTCCATTTTCAACTGCACATAGACTTCTCAGATTCAATATGCCCCAAACTGAAAATATATCATCTCTCCCCCAACCAGCTCATTCCCCCTTGTTCCTTACTGCAGAAATGGCACTACCACCTAATCTCTTGCTAAGTTGGAATACCAAGCACCGTACTTGGTTCATACTTAATTTCTGTGTCCTGCTAATTATATTCATGAATTTCTCTCAAATTCATCCAGTGATCTCTATCCTTCCTCCCTCTACCTAGTTAGGCCACCAATATGTCTAATGTAGATTACTAAAACCATTTCCTACTTACTTGCCTATACTTTCAGTCTTAATTGCCCCTGTAATCCATCTTCTACTATGCTCCTAGAATACACCTGTCACCTGTCTAAACACAATTCTGAATGTTATTTCCCTGCTTTAAAACTTTAGTGCATAAGACTGGGGATGAGTAATTTTTTTTTTTTTTTTGCGGTACGGGGGCCTCTCACTGTTGTGGCCTCTCCCGTTGCGGAGCACAGGCTCTGGACGCACAGGCTCAGTGGCCATGGCTCACAGCCTAGCCGCTCCGGGGCATGTGGGATCTTCCCAGACCGGGGCACGAACCTGTGTCCCCTGCATGGGCAGGCGGACTCTCAACCACTGCGCCACCAGGGAAGCCCGGGATGAGTAATTCTGAAGACACAAGAACTCTCTGTACATGTCCCTAAGATAAATTCCAAACTCCTCACTGGCCCTTATAAAGTACTGCAAGCATCATCCTCCCAGCCTCATCTTCTGTCATTTGTCCACCACACCCTAGGCACGCTCAACTTTTCCAGTCCCCCACTACTCCGTGCTCTTTGCACACGCTACTCCCTCTGCCTGTAACACTCTTCTTTCTACCCGGCTAACTCAGACTCATTCTTTAGAACACAACTAAGACACTGTATCTGTTTCAAATCATTCTCTAAATCCCAAAGCTAGGGTCAGGTCTCCCTTCTGTGTGATTCCACTGTATACTCCACAGGTTCTGCCACACTGAAAGGCTAACTGCTTGTTTGTTTGTCCACTTCCTCCACGAGTGTGTTTACTCCAAATATGGCAGGGACTAAGTCTTGCTTGTTTATTGTGGCTCTCCCGGAACTTAGAGCAAAATGGTTAATCAACAGATATTTGTTAAATAATTAAGTACAAAAATAAGTGTAGAGAGGAAACAAAGAATAACAAAACTGAATCTGCTCTAAAGCTACTAGGATAAATAACATCCACATATATAACTATGAAACAAAGATTTAAGAAAAATGGTAGAGATGATCTAAACAAAGAGAAACACCAATTCTGTATCTCTGGGGTGATCTCCAAAGTAAGGTGCCAAAGATGAACCTTTAGAGTATGCAAAGAAAATATCAGAACTCTTATTTAAATATATTTTTAATTTCCAGTTTGAAGTATGTTTTCTAATGTGTTTAATATAGTAAATGGTAAGTAACACAAGCATTCATATATGGAGCTGTGCTCAACTTTTTACTGAGTGGAATACACAATAAAGCTTGGAAATCACAGTTCTAGGGCATTTGACTTAACCTTTGTGTATTGGTGGGGGTCACAAATCTCTCTGAGAATCTGGTGAAAACCAAGGATTATCTCCCAGAAAAATGAATGTAAATAAATATGTATTATATATATATTTTTTAAGTTTTAGGATTTCTAGGGTACCTTGGCCCCCAGGTTAAGTCCTGGCCTAGGGCCTCCAGTTCTACAAGTCTGCCAGGAGGAAGGATGAGGTCAGCAAAATGCCTCAAGCCCTCTGATCCTATTATTCCCAACCTTCCCAGTGCCCACAAATCCTGCTCTTCCTCCTCCCCACAGGTGAAGCACCACATTTTCCCAAGGCAGGCTTGAAATTTCCAATCCCCTCTGTAACTCACATAGAGTTTAGGATGGCAGTCAAAGATCTTCTCAAGGGTATAATACAAACATCAGTTACTACCATACCACTATCATAATCCTTGCCATTTCCTGAAGCGTCATACTATTATTTTCTTAATTTTTAATAATTAACTTTTAAACTTAAATTTAGTGACATTCTAAGTAATAATGAAGTGAAATCAGTTTTGATATCCTGGTTATTATTTTCCTACCTCACATCAAAATAAACACACACTTAAAATAAGGATTTTAGACCCTCACCAGTCACCAAGTTTTAGAGTACAATCCTAAGGTTTCTGCAGGCACTCTGGGATCTCTGTTGGGTAAGCATAATTGGACATCAAGAAATTGTTTTTTGTTTTTTGTTTTTTTTAGCCAGAAGGAAACTTAAAAGCATTTGGTCCAATCTTCTGATTTTATAGGTTAAAATGCTAAAACCGAGAGAGGTTAAGTGATTTGTCCAAGGTCAGATGAGAAGTTTACGGAAATGTCTAGAATTAGTATTCAGGTCTACTATCAGTCCAGTACGCTTTCCACTATGCTGTGTCCATTCAAATTACACTAGAATAATACTGTATCAAGAATTCTTCATCTGTTACCTACCTCACTCTTCCATTCAGATTTATCTGAACATGCTGCTGAAAATCTGGATATTTGGAAGCCAGATATGCAAAGTCAGGAGGTTTGTCCTTGTATCTATTTCTTGCATGCATTGACTTACTCAGAGCCATCTTTAAAAAGAAAAAAAAGGGTGGGGGGGGAATCGCATATTTAGTTTAAAAAAGTCAACAGGAAAAGCTGTGGTTGCCAAGTCAACAGTTACAGCCAATACATCTTTGCCAACCAAGTGAGAAAAAAGAAGTTATATTTTGAAAATATGCAACAACAAATAAGCACATGAAAAGATGCTCAACATCATTAGTCATTACGGAAATGCAAGTCAAAACCACAATAAGATATCACTTCATACCCATTAGGATGGCTATTATTAAAAAAAAGAAAGAAAGAAAGAGAAAGAAAGAAAGAATGGAAAGAAAGGAAGAAAGGAAGAAAGAAAGGAAGGAAGGAAGGAAGGAAGGAAGGAAGAAAGAAAGAAAATAACAAGTATTGGCAAGTATGTAAAGAAACTGGAGCCCTCAGGCATTGCAGGTGGGAATGAAGATGGTATGACTGCTATGGAAAAGTTTGGTGGTTCTAAACATTACCATATGACCCAGCAATTCCACTCCTAGGTATAGATCCAAAAGAACTGAAAGCAGAGATTCAAACAGATACTTACAATGTTCACAGCAGCATTATTCACAATAGTCAAAAGGTAGAAGCAACCCCAAGTGTCCACAAGCAGATAAATAAAATGTGGGATATACATACAATGGAATTATCATTCAGCCCTAAAAAGGGATGAAATTCTGACACATGCTACAACATGTATGAACCTTAAAAACATTATGCTAAGGGAAATAAGGCACACACTAAAGCACAAATACTATATTATTCCACTTATATGAAGTGCCAACAATAGGCAAATTCATACAGACAGAGAGTAAACAAGAAGTTAGTAGAGGTTGGGAGGAGGGTAGAATGGTGAATTACTGTTTAATGGTACATGGCTTCTGTTTAGGATGATGAAAAACTTCTGGAAATGGACAGTAGTGATGGTTGCACAACACTGTGAATACACCTAAAGCCACTGAATGGTATACTTAAAAATGGTTAAAATTTTAAATGTTATGTTATGTGTATTTTACCACAATTTTTAAAAATGTATGCAACATATGATGAATCTTTTTCTTTTAAACCAAGGGAAGAAAATTGGAAACTATTCCTTCAAATGCATCGAAGTGACAGAAGGCAACATAATCTACAGCCAAGAATATTGTAGTCAGAGGTTAGCTTTTACAGTGGTCTTGCATGGATTGACTCTTTGGTAGTGCACCATAAAGTCACTAAAGTTTCAAAAAACATCTTTTTTTTTTCTTTTTTTTTAACTTCCTGATTTCAAACTCTACCAAAATAATCCTCTATTCCAACTTCTTTTATAAATTTCAGTCTTGTCATTTCCAGGTAGCTAAAACCAAATGAAAACAAATATAGCAATTTTGTTTTCCTCGAGAATACACAGAGGAGAAAAGTGAACACATTTATAGCAAGAAATAAAAACCGGAAAAAAACCATTGCAGTGGTTGAGTAAATCTCTAAGCAGTTGGTAATTTAAAAAATATTTTAGTGTGTATCTCTGGATGGTAGGTGATTTTTATTTTCTTCTTTATATCATTCTGCATTTTCCATTTTTTTCATAATGCGCATTCATCTAAATGGTATTGTGTAAGTCAGAATCCTAAGAGTCACCTGATAGTTCTCTATCCCTCTCGTATTCCAAGAAATCAAGCTATGTGGATTTTACCAGCTAAATACCTCTCAAATCCATCTATTTTTCCCTATGTCCACCAACAGCAGCCCAGTACAAGTTGCCTAGACTGCTACAACAGCCTCTTTTTTAAAAAATTTATTTATTTTACTTATTTTTGGCTGCATTGGGTGTTCATTGCTGCACGTAGGCTTTCTCTAGGTGCGGTGAGTGGGGGCTACTCTTCATTGCGGTGCTCAGGCTTCTCATTGCGGTGGCTTCTCTTGTTGTGGAGCACGGGCCCTAGAGTGCATGGGCTTCAGTAGTTGTGGCACACGGGCTCAGCAGTTGTGGCTCATGGGCTCTAGAGCACAGGCTCAGTAGTTGTGGCGCACAGGCTTAGTTGCTCCGCAGCATGTGGGATCTTCCTGGACCAGGGCTCAAACCCGTGTCCCTTGCATTGGCAGGTGGATTCTTAACCACTGCACCACCAGGGAAGCCCAGACAGCCTCTTATTTGGTCTCCATGACCCCACACTTTTTCTCTCCATTCCTTTTTCCACCCTGCAGTGATCATTTCTAAACGTAAATTTCACTGTGTCCTCCTCCCATGCCCACTTGCTCAAAACTTTACATTACTTCAGCATACATATAAGACCCAGCATGGTGTGGCCTTACCTATTTTTTCACCATCAGCTTAAGTCTCACCCATTGCTCTTCTTTCTTTCCCTCCACTCTGGCAATAGGGTCTTTACCCAGGTTACTCCTTTTGTCTATAATGTTCTTTCCTCCCCCTCTTCACCTGATGAATTCCTACTCATCCTTACTACCACAGTTCAAGCATTTCTTCTTCAGGAAGGTCTTTCCTTCCCTAATCTCCCCAGTTCAGTCATATCCGCTATTGTAAAGTCTCTTAGCAGTAAGTACTGTTCCTTTGCAGGCTTTGTTAAAGATGTAACTTTACATGGTAATAAATATGTTAATACTCAGAAGGTTTTTGACAGCTTTCCACACTGGAAGTTTAACAACCATGTCCAAAAGAGAATTATCGAGATGTTCCAAATCATGTATATAACTGCCCACCAGACTACTCACTTGAAAGGCTCAAAAGTACTCCATGCACAACATGTCCAAAATTAAATCATTTCTACCCACCCCAAACTGGTCCTCTTCTAATCTTCACTATTTTGCTGAATGATACCACTATCTTCCTTGTGGCACAAAAGCGAGAAATCTTTAGCACCTTTTCCACCCTGCCTCCCTCATTCCAAACACACCATGTCCTGAATATTCTCTATCTCCTAATTATTTCTTGACCCTATCCATTTTTTGCCCTTCATAACTCCATATCTTTAGGCCACAGACCATAATCATCTCTTTCTTGGATGACTACAATAGCCTCTAACTGATGTCTCTCTAACCACTCTTTTTTTGGCTGTGTTGGGTCTTTGTTGCTGCACGCAGGCTTTATCTAGCTGCGGTGAGCGGGGGCCACTCTTCATTGCAGTGCGCGGGCTTCTCATTGTGGTGGCTCCTCTTCTTGCGGAGCTCGGGCTCTAGGCACACGGGCTTCAGTAGTTGTGGCTCACGGGCTCTAGAGCGCAGGCTCAATAGTTGTGGCGCACGGGGTTAGCTGCTCCGCGGCATGTGGGATCTTCCCGGACCAGGGCTCGAACCCGTGTCCCCTGCATTGGCAGGCGGATTCTTAACCACTGCGCCACCAGGGAAGCCCCTCTCTAACCACTCTTGCCCCAGCAATCCACTTCACCCCAGCAACAACATCCCCCTCCTCCTGCCCCAATACAAAACTGAACATTCCTTGGTAAATCCCTTCAGTGCCTTCCTAAAGCTTTTAGGCTGATAAAGTCCAAAATAATTAACAAGGCACACATAATCTACCCCTCCAAACTCATTTGTTGCCACTTTCTCCTCCCTGTTCAGAGTGTCATGCGTGTACCCTGATGTCAGTGCACACACATAACACTCTGAACACACATGGACAAATTAAATTACAAATATGATAGATTCATTTCCTTCATTATTCAACTCTTCTGGTCAGAACAGATGCACAATGAGTCAATAAAGCCACTTCTCTGCTAACCAAGCTCCCAATACAGGCAATGGGTTCTTAGCTAAATCTATCCCATTCCTCAGAGTTTAACTGAGTATCAGCGCTCACCTGGCATCAGCATTGTCACTCCTAACTTCTCTCTAACCTAATTTACTTTTCTCTTCCTGGCTCACTCTGCTCTAGCCACATTGGCCTCCTTGCTGTTTCTCTAGCAAGTCTGGCACACTCCTATCTCACGGCTTTTGTACTTGCTGTTTGGTCTGCATAAACTGTTATTCCCTCAGAAATACATACATACAAGGTACCCTCACACCTTATTCAGGTGTTTGATCAAATGTCTCTTCCTCATTGATGCCTTTCCTGAGTACCTCAATTTAAATAAGCAGTGAGTGAACACACTCCTTGTCTCTCTTAGTAGCTTCAGTCTTCTACATAAAACTTACCCATCTGACATTCCATACATTTTACTTATTTTTTTAAAATCTGCCCTGCCAGTACGCTTCACGAGGGAAAATATTTTGTCTATCTTATTATTCACTGCGATATCCCAGAGCCTAAAGTAGGGCCTGGAGAGCAGGCACGCAATAAGTGTTTTCTGATTGAAAGCACGATGGAACTCTTTACACTGTCCAGGACACTGAAACACAGCACCCTCATTCTTGATAAGCAGTCCCCATCTTAAAGTCTCTAAAAGGCTCAGGCCTAGGGCTGGACCTTTTTCTTCCGGTTACCCGAGTCAGTCCAGAAAGCCAAAGTAGTAGACCTTCACTTAAGCTTCCGCTTCGACTTTCTTTGATCTTTCCCATCTCCACGCTTCTGTTTCCTTGGTTTCTCCTGACCCTTAATAATCCTCTTCAACTACCATGTGTCTTAATACATAAGTCTGTAAAATAATCTAAATTCCGCTTTCAGAACTTTAAATTCCTTCTGCACAGATCCCTACCACTTCAATCCTAATCTCCGTTTTCTCTTGTCTCCTTCCCTCATAAATCCGACTTTTTCCACTAGTTCGACCACTGCCACTGCCAGTTCTCCATCTCTTCCCCTCTTTCCACGCCCTCATATTACCCACTCAGACTATCTTCCCGCCTCAGTTTTCGATCTCTGTAAACCTCCTCCGCCCCGCCGGTCCTTCCTACTTCAGCACTAGTCGCCGCTCCATTTGCCAACTCCTCCTACCCACCCCAACACACATATACCCCCGCACGCGCACGGAGATGTACACACACCCCATCTGGTCTCTCTCCCTAGACCCCGAAACCAACACCTCACAGGCCCAAAACAGGAGAATGTGGAACCTAGGTGATACACAGGTTAAGTGAACTCGCAACCCGCGTGAGAGATACTAAGTGACTCACCTCTGAGGTCTAAGCTGCTTCCAGACGACTAGTCTAGTAGGGGCCTCTACAACTCCAGAGTTTTAAGCCACCAGCAGCCCGAAGATCCTAGAAACGCAAATGTTACGCTATCAGTGCGCCGCCATCTTGGGCCTCCATTCAGCCTCGTGATTGGACGATCCATTCTCGCGCGACCTGCATCAGATTCTGGAGAAAGAAGAAACTGTCGCGAGACCTGGACTTCGCGGCTCCTTCTGTCAGAGCGAGGGGGCGTGGTAGCAAGCAGAGTCCTTGGGGTTAGGACGCCTGGTTTTAAATCTGCTAGGGATATTGTTTTTTTAAAATGTAGATTAAAAAAAAATATGTAGCCTTCTGTGCCCCACTCCAGATTTACTAAATCACATTCTCTGGGTTTGGGCGAAGAATATAAGGATGGCTACGCGGGGAAGGGGGGAGGGGTGTTTTTGGATTACACGGCGGCAATTACCGTTTATTCTGCAATAGGTCTCTCCTCGTGCGATGTCTCACTTGATCATCACAGATAAACCTGTGAGGTGAGGAAGGGTAGTCTCATTTACAGAGAAAAAACTGGGGATCAGAAATATGAAGTCGTTTGTTCAATATCTTACATCGAGATGACATCAAATCCACGTATTTCCTCACCTGCCTCTTGAGCTGGAAGCAATGTTAAATGCTTTCCATTTTTCTTCTCAACTCGGTTATACTAATTTTTACCCTCCTCTGGTAAGTAGTGTGAATATTAGTCTCCCCGTTGTACAATTGAAACCAAAAGGTAAATGACTTTCAAAAGGCATACAATAAGTAACAAAACTAGGGCTAAAGGCTGAACCTCTGGACCCCTACCTAGTACCTCTTTCCTTTAAAAAAGCTTCCCGGGCTTCCCTGGTGGCGCAGTGGTTGAGAGTCCGCCTGCTGATGCAGAGCACAGGGGTTCGTGCCCCGGTCCGGGAGGATCCCACATGCTGCGCAGTGGCTGGGCCCGTGAGCCATGGCTGCTGAGCCTGCGCGTCCGGAGCCTGTGCTCCGCAATGGGAGAGGCCACAACAGTGAGAGG